ACATGCTAGGCACGTCCCCTAAGTCTTGAAGGCTGCAACAATAAGGAAAAGGGAAGTCAAACATCCCAGACCTCATGTTTTATATTCTAGTAAGTTTCTTTATAAACCAAAGTACAATAAAATCTACTCAAACTAGTTTTCAGTTGATTTCTCCATCATGTTGAATTAAAATTAGTTCAGTTTATGAATTTTGCCAAAGGCTACCCAGTAAGTAATTTTTGTTAATGATTTTGTATACTTCGAAAGTACATAAACAGTCAATGGGAAAGACTTAGATCTAAGAGTACAAATTGTGAACTAGGCCAGTCATTTATGGAATATTTTTTGAATACTTCTTTGGTGGTACCAGGTTATATCTGTATCTACAACAATGAATACAATCATATGATTCCATACAGATTTTTAAAAAGGACAGTACTCAAGGCAGACCTTTTTACTAGTTAAGCTAAACTATTATTTAATTTTAAGAAGACTTCAGGGGATATTTTTGGTGCAAGGTTTAAAGATTATCTCAGAAGTTTCAGTTCAACTACCCTCCAAGACTAAAGAAAATCTGGAGTTCGTGATAATTTTATATTCTGTTCTGTATCTTCTCCCTTTTTATCAAGATTGAGGAGAAAGATGAGGCTTTATACTCTCAGAAAGAGTTACAATCTCTGAAACCTATAGGGGCAGTTCTACCCTGTTCTATAGGGGCACCAGAGTTGGCATCGACTCTGTAGCAGTGAGTTAGTTGATCAAGATTATTGTATGGAATATTTAATCAAAATGTTCAGTAATAGGAGCCAGGTTAGTCCAGTTTTTGGTTTTTGTCTCATGACAAAAGAGGTAGTTGTCCATGGAGACAATTAGCCATATATTCTAGATCCTCCAGCTGACTCTCCCAACTCTCCTTCCTGCTTCTCCAGGTGAATAGAGACAAATTGTTGTGTTTTTGAATGGTTGCTTACAAACTTTTAAAAGCCCCAGCACTCCAAAGGAACTAGAAGATAGAAACATAAAACATGTTATGAGGAAGATTAACTGGGATGTCCCAGGATACTATGACCCTATACTTTCAAACTAAGGAAGTAAATGCCATGAAGTGTTTGATTGTATATAAACAGCTATTTTTTTCCCTTTAAAAAAATCATTTTATTGGGGGCTCGTACTGCTCTTATCACAATCCATCCATCCATCGTGTCAAGCACATTAGTTGCCATCATCATTCTCAAAACATTTGCTTTCTGCTTGAGCCCTTGGTATCAGCCAAACAGCTTTTTTTTTCATGTGTTGTTATAAATATATCTAACTTAAGTTTTGCCAATTGAACGTTTTACAATATACACAGCATATTAACAGGAATTACAGTAATTAGCTTTGCAACCCAATCCTTAGTCAAGGATATTTTTCCATCACTCTGAACACCAATTTTTCCTTCTATCTACCCCTGGCAAGTATGAATAAATTTGATCCCTGTAAATTTGCATTTCCTTTTAATATAATTTAATCATGAAATAATTGTTTTGCTTGACCTATTGTGCTCATATCTTCAAGCATAGATGAAGACTATTTCTCCTATTTGTCCATTATATGTATGTACCAGATTGTCTTGATCTGTTTTTTGAGGTTGGCTCAATCATAACAATTTTGAATATGGCATTTTCTTCTCTGGATTTTATGGTTTCAGTTTGTATATTTAGGCCCTTAATCCATTTTGCATTTGTTTTTGTGCATGAGTCATAGGTTAACCTGCATTTTTATTTTGTATATCTTTTTGCTTTCTATTTTTCGACCTTGATCAAATTTGTCTGTTGGTTAAGATACCAGATCTGTATTTTTTAAATTAATTAGGTCTAATTTTTTTTATGTTGTCATCAAACTATGCCTATGCTCTAGTATATTTGCATTTTTAAAAAGGATCTTTTGATTTATGAATGAAAATTACATCAGGAGGTTACATTTCAGACCATTCCCTCTGCATCCAGCAGTTGAAACCACTCATAGCCCTCCTCCGCTTCTCCCGCTTTCTCTCCATCTTGTGGCTTGTGGGCCTCCGACCTCACTTTAACTCAATCAGCACCTGTCAACTGTCTAGAGCCTGTTGCTTCATCCTCCTCCCTTGTCCCTTTACCTTTGTAACCTCCAAGGTCTGTTCCCTTTGGTATACAAGCCTTTGTCTTGGTTTTTATCCTATAGTGCTGGTCTTATACAATATGCATCTTCTTATGATTACCTAACGACACTGAACAATGTTTTCCAGGTTCATCCTTGTCATGAGGTGTTTTGTGATTTCATCATTGTTTTCTAGCAGTAGGTAGTATTCCACTATGTCTATGTAACAAAGTTTCTTTATTCTTCTACAGATGGGTATTTGAACTGTTTCCAACTTCTTGCTTTTATGAACACTGCTTTAATGAACATGGAAGTGTGTATGTGTGTTCATGCTATGGCTCATACTTCTTTAGGTATATCCTCAGCAGAGGTATGGCTGGTTTGCATGGAATTCCCATTCCCAGTTGTTTCAGGTAGTGAGATACCACTTTCCACAGGGATTGTACATATCTACAGACCCACCAGCAGTGTGTGACACTTCATTCCAATCTTTCTGTACCCTCTCCACTATATGTTGTTTTCTGTTTATTTTATTTTAAGGTGGGTACCATTGCCACTTTAAGATAATATCTCATCTCTCAGATGGCTAATGATCAGGAGTATTTTTTTCATACATTTTTGGTGAATTGCCTGTTCATGTCCTTTGTCCATTTTTTAATGGAGTTATTTATATTTTTCTTATAAAATCTATAGAAAACTGTAACACTTTAATATTAGTTCCTTGTCTATTGTGCTATTAAAGTATTCCCCCCAGTCTGTGGGTTCTCCTTTACTTTTCTGATGAAGTCCTTCGATGCACACAATTGTCTTATTTTCAGTGGGTCCCAAGAATCTTGTCTTCTGCTGTGTGTGTGGCTTTCATTTTATTTGCTAGTATGTCCACGCCCTAGAATAGGGTCACTAAGAGTGTTACTATTTTCTCATCGATGATCTTTACAGGTCTCAGATTTGTCTTTGAGTTCATTTTTGTACATGGGGCGCGGTATGGGTCGTTTCATTCTTCTGCAGATGGAGATCAAGTTTTGCCCCCACTATTTGTTGAAGAGATTATATATAACCCATTTAATGTTTTCTTAGCTCTTGGTTAAAGACTAATTGTCTGTAGGTGGATGAATTTACTTCTGGGTTTTCTAGTCTGTTCCACTGGTCTGTGCACCTGTCATTGTTCCAATACCAAGCTGTTTTGAATACTGGGTCTAAATAATAGATTTTGAGTTGAGAGGACTTCTGTTCTTCCTTTTTAAAATAATTTTATTGGTCTTTTTCTTCTTCTTGAGTTCTTTGCTTATCTTGGGACTCTTTCCTTTCCATATAAAGTTAGTAATTGCCCTGGTGGTGCAGTGGGTACTTGTTAGACTGCCATCTGCAAGGTCTGCAGTTAGAAATTAGCACCTGCTCTGAGGGAGAAAGATGGCTTTCTACTCCCCCACATAGTTACAGGCTCGGTAGTCTACACTGCTCAGTAGGGTTATAGTGAGTTGGCATTAACTCAATGTCAGTGAGTGAATTCATTTTTCCATTTTTTAAAAGAATGATGTTGGGACCTGGATTGGAATTGTGTTGAATTAGTAGACTGTTTTGGTTGGTATTGACATTTTCACAATGATAAGACTTCCCATCCATGAGCATGGAATATTACTCCATTTATAGAGGCCTCTTTTGGTTTCTTGTAATAATGTTCTGCACTTCTGTTTCTCCACAGTCAATGCTCATGGAAGCAGCAGTCAAAAAATCAAATGACTATTGCATTGGACAAATCTGTGTAAGACTTCTTTAAAGTGCTAGAAAAGCAAAGGTGTACTTTCAGGACTAAGGCATGTCCTGATTCATCCCTCTTGATAATATACCCAGAGGACACCATGCTTAGTACAGTAGAGGGTCAGTAAAAAAGTGGAGAACTCACAAAATGGAAAGACATAGTGCTATAGTAGTAATGGACTAAACTTAGCAACAATTGAGAGGATAGCCCAGGACCAGTTCTAAAACACTTGTGTGTGTTTTTATTCATAATCCATGGTGACAAGGTGATCAATTTTAAATTATTATTTTTTGACATTAAGGAAATAGAATAGTATAAATCAACCCAAGTTTTTAACAGGACAGTAAGAATAGATAGAGGTCAGCATATTGATTTCATTTTGGCCTGCAGTAACATTAATGCAAACTACCAAGGGATACCTGTAAGAAAGTTCACACTGTTCTTCTAGACATTTGGAAATATCTGGCTAACCTATTAGTTTTCATTTAAATAGGGGACATTAAAATTGTTTAATGTGAAATATTAAATACTGCCCTTTATGGAGCAATTTTCTTTCTTTTTAAAAAAATACTTCAGTGTTGTTTTATTGTTTTTAACAGTTTTATTGGCATATAATTCAGATATAGTACAATTCAATACTTGGATCATATTGAGAAAAATTGTACAATCTCACCATGATTAATTTTAGAATACTTTCTTTCTTGTACTCATTGTTAATAGTTCCCTATTCCCCCCACCCTTGCTTGTCATATCCCCAAGAAACCATTAACCAGTTACTGTCTCCATAGATTTACCTATCCTAGATTTCATACACAGAAAACCTCAATTGAGAAGAAAGCAGAAAATATTAAAAACTGGAACAAATTTAAAATAAGTCAAAAGGGAAATAAAATGATAAGGCATTAAAAAATTAAGATCATTTAATTTGGGGGCTCTTACAGCTCATAACAATCTATACATCAATTGTATCAAGCATATTTGTACATATGTTGCCAACATTATTTTCTAAACATTTACATTCTATTTGAGCCCTAATGTTAAATTTTAATGTAACTGCCTCTGCAATCATCCATTTTGCAGTGCGTTTTGCACAATTGCAAGATTATTCACATACTGGAGCATTAAAATTTTTTTTAATATATCTTACCTGTTGGAAGAGCCATTCAGTGTTCTTTGTTGAAAGACACATTTTTGGATTGAACCAGACAGAGGAAGGTTATCTGGAAGTGTGTCTTCTTGAGATGCTAAAGACAGACCAACAAAAGCTTCACTTAGCATATCTCCTCTGTCCAAGGGCCCCAGGAGTTCTGTTAAAAAATGATGAAGAGTCCAATATGATTCCCATAATTACCTAAGAAGGATTACAGAAAAACTTCCATACATCTCTTTAAAAAACATTTTTCTTTGTTATTATTTTTGGTCAGTTTACTATGTTTCACACAATAGAAAACTTAGTCACAGACCTGATGATGGAACACTTGGGTCTGGGATATTTGATAACATTTATAGTGTTTTTGTTGTTATTAGTCACCAGTGAGTTGGAATCGACTTGATGACAAAAACACATGCACAATGGAACAAGAAGCTCATGATCAGCTGTGGACTGGACATTTGTGATCCACAGTGTGTGCATTGACTGATAGAGTCAGTAGGGGTAGAGTTGTAGGCATTGATTCCTAGTTTGTCTCAATATGGAAGCTTTGCTGATAGCTGCTCAGAGCCATAACAATATACAAGCTTCCACTGGCAGACAAGTGGTGGCTGTGTTTGTGGTATCATAGTCAATACTGGGTATTGAACCTGGGTCTCCTGTATTGCCTAACTATGCCCAACTATATTAAAGAAACAATTCTTAAGACTTTCCAAACTGAAAATGAGGAGCTGATACCAAGGGCTCAAGTAGAAAATGTTTTGAAAATGATGATGGCAACAAATGTGCTTGACACAATGGATGTGTGTATGGATTGTGATAAAGAGTTGTACAAGCCCCCAATTTTAAAAAAAGACTTAAGCCATCATTGATACATAACTGATGTATAAAAGGGCAAAGGTCTGTAAAAATCTCAATTTTTATCAACATCAAATAATAGAAATAGTGAATGCTGAACTGATGGTAACATTTTAGCCTAGCTTGAAGTGTATTGGCTGCAAATTTAACTTGGTCCTCTGGGAGGCAAGAATTCTACCACCAAAACATCACTTTCTCTCAACTCTTTTTACCAGAACAAGATTTAGTTTGGGAAACCCTATGGAGGGTCACACTGGGTCAGCATTGACTTGATAGCAGTGTGTTTGGTGTTGTATTTTCCTTAAACATTGTATTGTTGCTAGGTGCCACTGAGTCACTTCTGACTTAATAGTAATGCCCCTTCCGGTTTTCCAGGTTGTATTGTCACTGGAACAGGTCACAGGTTTTAATCCGCAGAGCCACTGACGGGTTCAAATTCCCGCCCTTAAAACTGAGTGCTTTAATCATCGTGCTATCAGGCTTCTTTGAAGTATTAAGTTACTACTTATTTTACTCCTTCACTTGCAGTAATACTTTTGAAAAGAAAATGAAAATATATTTTCTAATATTTGTGTTCAGTTAGCATTTTAAAGTGTACAGGGAGTTTGCTGTTTTCAGATCAGAGATTTTAAAAGAACATTTTCATATTACCAACTTTGAGAGGGTAATGCTTTAAAAAATGGTTGGAAACATGAACTTCTGGGGTGGGGTTAACTACTTTCAAATATATATTAAAATATATTTTTTGAAAAACATAAGCCTTACTTTAAAAAACCCCACAAAAATCCTTAGGATCATATAGTCTATTACAGGGGTCCTCAAACTTTTTAAACAGGGAGTCAGTTCACTGGCCCTCAGACTTGTTGGAGGGCCGGACTATAGTTTAAAAAAAAACTATGAACAAATTCCTACACACACTGCACATATCTTACTATGAAGTAAAAAAAACAAATGGGGCAAAAACACCCAGTGGACAGGATAAGGCCTACGGGCTGTAGTTTGCAGATGCCTGGTCTATTATATAGATAAACATATATTTATATATGTTAAATCCTAGCATTTAAGGAACTATTTTTTCCCTTGGCAACCAAAGATTACTGTATGTTTATTTCGAGTTTCCCCCCTCCATTCCTATTGTTACTTTCACATTCACTACAAGATACATAAAATGGGGATTGTCTCCTCAACAATTTTTTGTAATAAATTCTCTTCAGAGATTAGTTAGTACTGTTTTAAGGATGAAAAAAGTATTTGTAGCAGTGTTTCAGCATATTTATTTTCCACAATATCATTACATGTTCTGTTGGTTTACTTATGCTTCTTATTCATTACCAAAAAAAAATCTATGGAAGCTACAATGTATGAATCGCTACCCATATATCGGAGTTTTTAGATGGTACCATTTTCAGACATGACAATTGGTTTTAGTTGTTCATTCTTATAAGCAAGAATTTATTGAAGTTTGTTCAAATTAACTCTGATAGGAAAATATAAGATGAAGACTTACCGTATATACTCGAGTATAAGCCAACCCGATTATCAGCTGAGGCACCTTATTTTACCACAAAAACTGCACTTAAAATGTGCTGAAAAACTCGGCTTAGCCCTTGGTCACTAGTCGGCTTTCCCTTCCTCTCCCCCATCCTTGCTCCCCTGTTGCCTTCCCGTCTCCCATCTCCATGTGGATCACCAAGTGGAGCTGAAATGAGACCTTCTCTGAAGTTTTGTGAAAAACCTGGTGTGTGTGTGGCCAACTAAGCACATGTCCTAGAATGGAATGTTTGATCTACACCTAAGCCAATTGTGGTAAAATGAATTATGGATTCATTCAAGCAGGAATGAGCAACCTACCAACCACCAAGAAAGAAGAGCCAGAGTGAATCCTGCCATTTGGACCCCGAGATTGCTGCCCTCAACCTCTTCAATCCAGGAGTCAGAGGGTGGTTATGCTGAAGCTGGAGCAGTGAAGTGGTGGAGAAATGGCAGCATCAGAGGCACCAGAACCAAGAGCATAAGACTGAGAGGAGTGGTAGGCTACCCAGTCCACAGAGTAAGTAAAGCTGAGGGCGTTTAGGCAGGAGACTCACTGGTAGAGTCGGTTCCTCCAGGCACTTCATATGGGGATCTAGAGTTGCCAACCCATATAGCTAGAAACCTTTGGGCTGAGGCTTATGGTGGAATAGTATAGTCTTTGGACATATATTGGCAGCATTGAAGACACTTTGTATTACTTGCCCAAGCATGGTGAGGCCAACGTGGATAAAAGGCCACAGATCTGAGAAAAAGTGCTCCTGACCAAAACAGTTGTATCTTGAGCATTTCTGATCCTGATTTGTACACTATTAAGTATCTAATAAATCTTACAATTCGGGGGGGGGGGGGGGGGGGGTCGGCTTATGCACGAGTATATACGATAATCTTTGTCATGAGGTTAAGTTTTGACAGCAGGGTAAGGAGAAGAGAAAACCAAACCAAGCTCACGGCCATTGAGTCAATGCTGACCTAGAGGAGAAAGAAATAGTTATAACAGAAGTGGAAAAGTCTTATTTTACAGCCTTTATACTTATGAAGACCCTCACATCATGTGTCCTTGATTCTGAAAGGAAAGTAAGACCCACAGAAGAAGTGATGTACCATGCCTGCAATTTTGTAACAGTCTCTACAAGAGAACAATTAAAATGGAATTTAATGGTCTCTTTATCCTGGCATTATTAGACTATAACATTGTGGTTTTATTTTTAAAATATTAAGCTGACTTAATTATAGGGAGGATTCTAGGCATAACTAATAACTGAGAGACACCTAGTCAACAACAAAAACTCATAATTTAGGCAGAAGTGGAGTAGGGTAGAGAATGAGGTAGAAATAGTTACAGCCCGAGTAGCCTGTGGTTTTACAGTCACACTTGTGTAGTTGATTGGCAGGCTAAGGATTTGGGTGAGATAGTTAATTGGAGAAAGTGCTTGCCAGAAAATAGGAGTTACCTAGAATTTTGTTATATTTTATGTTTTTTCTAGAGCAGAGCTTTTAAGCTATTAACCCATGTGCCAAATTCAGTTTACAGGTGTTTGACCTACAGTGTTGAAAATTAGTTTGAATTTAAAGCCTTTGCAAAAATCAGAACTTGTGGCAACAGTGACTGTTTCCTTAGAGCAGAAATCTCTGTTAGGCAAGAATGGCTGCCGTTCCCTGTCACGGTATCAGTACACTACAGTTTATCCCAGTCCTGTGTTCCCGTTGTTTCCAGGACAACACTCGGAACGGCTGTTCCACTGATCTTCAAGCTCTAGGCATTGAGTTTGCTCTGGAATAGGGCCACAAACCTTTCATCTGGTTTTGTATAGCCCAAGATCATAGAACGATTTTTATATTTTTAAATGGATGTATTGCTGTAAAGGAAGAATATTTTGAGAAACATGAAAATTTTTTGAAATTCATATTTCAATGTCTAAATAAAACCTTATTGCAGTGGTTCTCAACCTTCCTAATGCCACGACCCTTTAATACAGTTCCTCATGTTGTGGTGATCCCCCAAACAAAATTTTCGTTGCTACTTCATAACTGTAATATTTCTACTGTTATGAATCGGGCAACACCTATGAAAGGGTCATGACCCACAGGTTGAGAACTGCTGTCTTACTGGAACAGAGTTACTCTCATTCATTTATATAGCATCTAAAGCTGAGTTTATGCTACAATGCCAAAGTTACGTAGTTGCAACAGACAATATGAACTATGAAACCTAAAAGATTACTCTCTGCTCCTTTAGGAAAAAAAGTGTGCGAAACTGTACTCTGAGAAAACATCCCTATACACTCTTTTCCTTTCCTTGTCTCCACTATTTTTTTCTACTCTTTTCTACGTGCTCTTTAAGATGAATCCACTCACACATGGCCTTATAAGACAGAGTCGAACTGCTGCCCCATCGCATTTCTGAGACTGTAAATATTTATGTGAGGAGACTGCCATATTTTTCTTTTTGTGGGTAGCTGATGGGCTACAACCTTACAAGCAGCTGCCCAAAGCTTAATCTACTGTACTCCCAGGGCTCCTTCCTTAAGTGATACCAAATTCCATTTCATAGCAAGAATGAAGAGTGAAAAAATCCAGCAGCCCAGGATCCTGACCTGTGCTTTGAACCATCTGTTATCTTGGACAAGTAATTTTATCTGAGTTCCCATTTCCTCATTCGTTCAGAAAGGTGAAATATATCCACTTTGAAGCCCATGAAGCAGGCAAGAGATAAATTGGTGAATACAAATGTAAAAGACCAAGTCTACAGATTGATTGGAAGACCCCTGGTTGCTAGTAGGTAAAACAGTGAATAATTGAGTTTAGGCTCTTTACTTGTATTATATTTAATCCTCATAAGACTATAAGGTAGCATCATTACCCTTTTTGTAGAAAAGGGTACGAAGAAACTGAAGGTCAAAGTGGTTAATTGGTTTGATCTAGGTCAATGTCTATTAAGTGGCAAAGAATCAAGGTTCACGCCTGGAGTGTCTGGCTCCGAAGCCCAGGCTGCTCTATTTCAGCAACTCTGAGTCGGAGGGAGATAAGTGAACTAAGGTAATTTATTGCTGCATCCATTTGTTTTGTAAAAGAACTGGCACTCTTTCCTTGGTAGTATTGAATATTTTTCTTTAAATCTATCTATTTTGTTGGCATTGTGCCTTCAAAGGAGATATCCCTTCCAATCTAAAATCTCCAAAGGATTTTCAGAGTAAAACACATTTTGAGATGTGCAATCTCATGGAAGAATGAAAATCTTTCATAGTGTTGTTTGTTAAACTGACAGCTCTACTTAACAGAAGCCATTAAAATATTTACAAAGTAGCAGCTGCTCTTGTAATAAAAATACAGCTTTTTAGAGGCATAAAAATAAACAAGTTGATAAGTACAAGATAAGCCATTTGATGGTTTCTTTGTGTACATTGCACAACATACAGAAAATGCTGATATTTACAGAGCAATTATAAAATAAAGCCTTTTAAGTTAAAAGGAACACAGGCCCAGTAAGAACTGTGCATAAAAACTCTCCATATTTATCTTTGAGACAATTCAGAAAACCCCAAACATAACCTTTTAAGAAGTGTTAAGTTTTGGGTGTGTGTGTATTTATTAAGCTTGTTCTTAGAAGATAATTATATATATATATACATACCAATGAATTTCTGTTGAACTCTATGGAGATAGCTTTTGAATTAGATGAATTTCAGTCACTCCTTTTCATAAAATAATTACAATGTGGGAGAAACAGAATGAGAGTAAGCAAGTATATGCCTTTTTTCTTAAAGTAACTGGTGTAAATGGTTACTATCCTTTGCTGCTAACGGAAATGCTGGAGCATAAGTCCCCCTCAGAGGCACTTCAGAAGAAGGGCTTGGTGGTCTACTTCTGAAAAATCAGCCACTGAAAACTCATTGGAGCACAGTTCTATTTTGATATACTGAGACCGTCATGAATTAGCATAGCTGTGATTTGAATTTGACTCATTGGCTATTTACTGCTAACAGTAGAAGACTGAAAGGTAAATCTGGTAGTGGTTTCTAAATCTGATATACTACCAGCTTGAGAAAATTACAAAGAATAAATATTCATGTAAATACATTATTTCAGATCTTGAAAATATTAACATTAACCCTTTTTCTAGGAGCCTTGGTGGTACAGTGGGTTGTGCATTGGGTTGCTAACCACAGGGTCAGTGGCTCAAAACCACTAGCCGGTCCTTGGGAGAAAGATGAGGTTTACTACTCCTGTAAGAGTTAGTTCTCGAAACCCAATGGGGCAGCCCTACCCTGCCCTAGAGGGTGGCTGTGAGCTGGAATCGACTCGATGGCAGTGAGTTTGTTACTTTTTCTACTTTTAAGTTTAGTTCATTTCTTTTGTTGTCACTCCAAAGACAGCATTTCTCCATTCCATCTTAAAGAAAATATTTTTCTATCTTTTAGTCTGGTAAAGGCAGCTGACAGATAATGGGAGAAATATCAGTAAATGTCAGTAACTTATCAAAAATAAGGTGGACACATGCATTTTTATTAGCTGGAATACTTATCTAGGGAGAAATGTCCCCTCATCAACTACTGGTTAACTATAATTCCTGTAAGCAGTAGGAATGCTTGCTTTTGAGCTCAATTTTGGGATTTTTCCAGAGATAATCAATTCTTTTAAAAAGTATTATGAACTTTTAAACAAGGATCTACTTTAATCACTGCAGTGATTCTCTTTAGTCATGCTTAGTGTATCCCAATTTTTACCCGGTGGGACCTTCTTCAAGTTGGTGCTTGTGTCCGGTTAGACGTGTCATGCCACTAAGTAATTATAGCTCCTATCATCTATCGTGCTCCTATGACAAATGCCACAGGTGGGTGGGCTCTGAGTCTAGGAGAAGGTTCTGTTCCACTGTTTCTTGGCTATCTTCCCTCATCTGTTTCCGGGTCTCTGCCCTAGTTTGCTATTTAATCTGAAAAGTGAAGGTTTAAAGCACACCTGACATCTTTATGATCTCATTAACATAACAAAGAAAGCTCCATTCCCAAATGGAATTATATCCAGAGGTATGGGGGTTAGAATTAGCAGTATATAACTTGGGGGATATAATCCAATCCACGCCAGATTTGTTTGTTTTGACTTTCTGGTATGACATGTTTCAGGCTCATAACATTTCACATCTCAAATCTGGAGTGAGTCTTTTTTTGGACCAAAGAGCACTGGTGGGACAAATCCTATTTAGGGAACACAAACTGGTTGCTAGGAATACCCTTGATTTTTATGTAGTGATTATCTATCTCTGCTGGCATAACTAGAGGTCGAGTGTGACAGTATGCTGGGGGGGTGGGTGGTAACACCATATAATGTAAGCCTAGCTTGCATGTATCAATACCTATATGGCTAAAACTCTGTTAATTTACTCCTTGAAACTTCTAATGAGCCCCAATCCAGAACTATCATGATCACCCAATTATAATGATTCTTTGAGTTGCTTGGCTTCTATACTGCACCATAAGCATGGGCTATTGGTTTCATTGCTGCAAGTATTTTTATAGTTGC